GACGTCACGAGGTACATTGAGTCATGTGCAGTTTGCCACCGTAACAAGGGTCGATCTCGAGTCCCCTTCGGCAAACTGAAACCGTTGCCGATCCCGCGGGCACCACGCCTCTCCATTGCTATGGACGTGACAAGCCCGTTTTCCCGCGATCGCCACGGCCATGACGGTATTCTCACGGTCGTTGACCGTTTGAGCAAGTATGCTTGCTTCCTTCCTTGCAAGTATCATGCTGCAGCACCTGAGCTCGCACGACTCTTGCACATCGGTTGGATTACCAACCAGGGTGTTCCAGAAGATATAGTGAGCGACCGAGATAGTCTCTTCGTGTCGGCCTTTTGGACTTATGTCGGCGTTTTGGACTTCTCTCATGACTGAGTCCGGCACGACAATGAAGCCGAGCTCGGCTCGGCACCCGCAAACGGATGGTCAGACGGAGCGAGCGCACCAGACCGCTCAGATGATGTTGCGTATGCTCATCCGTCCCGACCAGAAAGATTGGGTTGACCGGCTTCCCGACATCGAGTTCGCCTACAACACTTCGGTGCACCCGGCGATCTGCGTCACACCATTCGAGCTACATCATGGTGGAGAGAAAGCATGGATCTTCGCTGATCTCCTTTTGCCACAGGCTGCCGACATAGATGTCCCTTGCTCTCCCGCTTCCATCCGGAAGTACAGGGACTTGCTGATCAAAGCCCGCGCAAATATGCCAAACGCTCAGATCCGCATGCAGCAGCAAGCTAACCGACGTCGACTTCCATGTCCTTTCTGCGAGGGAGACCGTGTTTGGGTCCTCTCCGAGGAATTTGCGCTCGAGCAGGATGTTTCGCGCAAACTCCTTTCGAAATGGTTCGGACCATGGGAAGTCACTTCTGCCGTTGGAGACGACCCCGCAGGTCCTTCCTTCGTGATCAACATTCCACCGCACCTGACAGTGCATGGGGTCTTCCACGCATCGAAGCTGGCCATCTACACGCCACCTTCAGCTGACGAGTTCCCCGGACGTCGATCACAGGATCCGCCTTCTATGGACGGACATTAGGAAATTGATCGAGTCATCACGCACCGCAAGTGTGGGAACAAGCCAAGGCAGTACAAAGTCACATTCAAGCAATGTGCGCCTGATGACACTCGGTGGATCTCCAGTACAGATTTGCAGACGTCTGCACCCCTCATCTTGGCCCACTATGAGAAGCGACGCCTTGCTAAGGACGCAGCTCGTCCCTCCCGACCCAACCCGGTATCGGACAGACAACTTCGCCCTCGCAGGTAGCTCGGTCTTTTAAGAGGGGGAGTGTGTTACATCGTCGACGCACACGGGTCCTACCGGACCCAACTTAGGGCCGGAAGGACACATCAGGGCCTAAAGGCCCGACCTTGGGGTATCACAAGCCCTAAAGGTCTGATCTTGGACCAGTACCCGACGGGCAGGGCCAAACGGCATTATCGTTTGGACCTGGCGGCGCTCTTGAGGCTGCCGCCCGCCGGTTGGGGCTGAACCGTCCATCTGGACGGTTCAGGGCATGGCCAGGCCTCGCAGCATTGAGGCCGGCCTCTGCCCCACCAGTATAAGTACCGGTACAGCCTCACTTGGAGGCATCGAACCACCGACACTCTACCAGTGCGTTATGGTCTGCGCCAGAGCGCTGTTTTGATGCGCTAAGTTTAGCGCAGGAGCGAGCCAGGAGCAGCAGTGGCAGCACAGCATTAGCGCAGCGGCAAGCGGAGCAGCAGCAGGGCGACTGAGCCAGCACGGCGGCCATTGCCGCCTGATGTACGTGGGAGCGAAGGACCTCTCCTCCCTCCCTCGTCAGCTCTCTCTCTCTCTCTCTCTCTCTCTCCTCCTCCTCCTCCTTCTTCTTCTTCTTCTTCTTCTTCTTCTTCTTCAGACTAGAGACTTGTACTAGTTGGACGGAGATCGGAGTTGGACTTCGGTGATATGAGACTGTGGTACTTTCCTGATTGGAGACTTGGAGATTGTTGAGGTTGATACTCGGCCGCATCACAGTTGGATACCGGTTACATCTGGACTCTGTATCTCCGACATTGGTGACCTATGGGCCTCGAYATTTTGATCCTGTTGTATGACATTTTGGACTACCATATCGGAGACCTATCAGACTCTATCTATCGGTGTTGTCKAYCTCCCCACCTCCTTCGTCTCTCCTCCCACCTTTCATCTGTGAATGCGTGTACGGGATCTGGGCATCGTCTATGAATGGCCCAGACCCCACCATCTCACGATTGTATGTGTGTGGAGTGATGCTATGTGAGTCGGCCTATGTGAGTCAGTCTATGTGAGTCAGTCCGTTTATCAGACTTCCGCTGCATATATGATCATCCTACATTGGTTGATCTTTGGTTCTGCCCATACTCATTGAAGTATGCAACAGTAAATCAGCAGGCTCGCTAGACGAAGCGTCTCTATCGATCCTCAGAGGCCATAGGCCAGACGCACGGAAACTACCAATTGTGATGATACGGTCCAATCCTCATGGTGACATGAGGCGCAAGAGCGCGCATTGTTTTCGCCTAAGGTAATTTCGTTGCCTTACTTTCTAGGTGACTAGAAATAGGAAACTCCACTGTATGTGGGAAACTCCTCGAATAGATAGAATGAATTTAATTTCTTGATAGTAAGTAATAGTCATTAAATTCAATTAGAGGTCAATCCGCAGGAAACCAACAAATGTCTGTGTAGGATCCTCAGAGACTTTACGTGGAGCTACTACTAATTAAAGTCATTGGTTTATCATAGAGACGATTTCGGGCAAAAGAAATTCCCATGGTGTGACGGGCGGTGTGTACAAGGCCTGAGTACATATTCACCGCAGCATGCTGATCCGCGATTACTTGCGATTCCAACTTCATGTTCTCGAGTAGGGCCCTCCATAGGGTCCGGTAACCAAGTATGGAGTCCTATTTGTGAGGATTTTCCTACAGCTCCAATAAAGAGTAAAACACAAATAGCAGTTAGTGGATGAAGACTTGAAGGATAAGAAAGATAATTAATAAAGCGCCCATTTGAACTGTTTTAAACTCTGACGCCACACTTCGGGCCGGCACACGGACAAAAAAGTTGAAGGCGTTCCCGAATTTTCTTGGAAGAGGCAACTTCGTTGCACTTAGGATCAACTTTAAGTAACACTATAATTACCATAACAGATTCTTTTGGAGATACCAAATCTTGGTCCTCTTCTGGTTCAGTGGGATTTAAGATTACTAAGTACAAAGGCACATTTTGGTAATCGTTCCCCGACTGAAGGCGCCGAAGGCGTCGTTTGAGTTTCTATATAGATAGGCCGAAGGCGCCCATATCTATTAACTCAGTTGATATCAATCAACACTGATCATTTACAGTTACAATGGTTAGCAGGATTGATTCTGTGATGCAGAATCCGAAGAGTGGAGATCAAGGTCAGCGACTTGACCTTGTAATTTATGCCTTCACCGTTTTGAGCTCGTTTATTACCTCTAAGTTTACTATGATCTTGGAGGTTTTCTGCGAAACATCGGAATCTGGATAATCGCATATAAATTATCACTCATACACCCTCTACTGTGACTCCGGGCCCCGATCAAACAACTCAGTGTGAGAATTCGGAGGACCAAGATTCATAGGGGTTCCCAGCAAATAGCCCAGTGGTGAGAGACGACTTAGCAAAAAAAACGTATACTTATTTAGACAAACAAAAGAGTTTGTTATTATTAATGGAGAAAAGATTGGACATTCTTCTTGTACGTATGAATTTTTGCTCTACTATTTTTACAGCAAGACAGCTTATAAGTCATGACTACAAGCTTTTTTTCATATGCCACACGGAGAGATTGAAGAGGCGACCATAGGCACCGCCAGGCGGCGGCCCTTGTTTGGTTTCGCACTTAAACATTTACCCAGATCCCTTCCCGCGATCTTGAATACTTGAGCTCTAGTTCCAAGTTTGAATTTAGCTGCGTACATTTTGGCCAGAGAGTGACGTAAAATAACTTTGTTTCAACCAAGTGCTTTCTCTTCGACCCTTCATGATAGCGCAGGACCTACCTGTATTTTGTACTTGACTGACTCTTGCGAGCCTCCAGGCACAAAGTGCAGCAATTCGGATATCCCCGCCGAATTGCTGGACACGAAGTGGTGGCCAGAGCTCATATCGACGGAGTCGTTTGGCACCTCATCATCTTGGGGTACTTACACAGTAATGTGTAGGCGCGAAGCTGGATATATGCTGGGAACTCCGTCGAGTATCCGACCAAATGACAAACGTGTCAATGCGGACAATCAGCAGGGAAGTCATGTGTTGATACATGCGCTGCGCCCCTCAACTACTACACGCCAGACATCCCTGCTTGTTGCCACAAGAAAAACGACTCGGAGGCCGAAACGTCGAACGCTGGGCCTGCCATTGATAAATTGGATCGGCGGTTGCTTTTTGGATTCGCGCTTCCAGAATTTGAGGTGTCAGGACCGCGGCCCAGGTGTCTATCTGCTTGTGCTTTAAGCCTTTTCAGGGGACTCTGGAGACTGTAGAGGGTGTAGAGGGTGTTAAGGGTTCAGCCTCCTGATGAGTTTGGTGAAACTCCGACGGAATAGTCTGTCACAGCCCCTTGCTTTTTGTCTTCTTCTCCCTCTCTGCCTGCGGTTTACTCCACTATGTATCGTCGGACAGAACTGCAGTTCTGTCTCTCTGACGATACATCAGAAAGTTTAAGGAAATAGGGTTGTGACTCGGGAGCAATGGTCCAGTACCCTTACTCCACTATGTATCGTCAGACAGAACTGCAGTTCTGTCTGTCTGACGATACATCGGAAAGTTTAAAGAAATAGGGTTGGGACTCGGGAGCAATGGTCCAGTACCCCTCCGAGATGAGGGTACATAGTGTTCGTGAAGAAGATCAATCCTATTCTTCCCCAGCCCCCCTCCCTTGAAAAAAAAAAAAAAAAAAGAGGTTGTGGTCACACAATCTGCTTGTCTTTTCTGGTTTTCTGGTGTGCGCAGTGACCTTCTGTTTTTCTCTGAAAGGTGTGGACGGCCATGAGGTATATTGTCCGAGCGAGTGTCCACAGGTAATCCGGAGTTGTAATTTTTGTCATCATGGAGTCGATGTCCATGGGGATTCGAACTCAGGTCTGTTTATCAGCAGTTCATGGGTGTACCGCTCAGCTGCATGGACTGGGTGGCCATCTGTTATTTTTCCAAATTTCCACAAAATTTTACATTTGTGAACGTAGTCCAACTTTTCGTGGACTTTTTACTTTTTCACAAAGTTTGTGAACTTAGTGTTTTAAATTTTAATGAAATTAATAAAATTATGTACCCTACCCGTAAAAAAAGGGCCGACTTTTCGTCACTTCTTGTTTATTTGGTCGTTTTTAAACTTTTTTTTCACTTCTATGATACCCCTGTCAAGACCTGAACGGGGTACACACATGTCGCCGTTAGTAATCAGAACATGAGTGCCAATGGAGCTGAGCTACCCTCTCTTAAGACAAAGCTGGTAGTTTGGAGCTAGTGACCGTTGAGGATGCTGCC